TACACATATACATACTACTATATATCCAAGGATAGAAGATTGGAATTTCTATTGACAGTAATGCAAGTAAGATAAAAAGGCTATTTCTCGTGCAATATTGTCAATAATTACAAGCCTTATTCAAGATGTCGCTGTTTTTTCAAATACAAATCAACGTACAAGTACAGCACATTTTCTGTCTTACTCACTCAAGAAATGTAAAAATACGAAATTGTCAAGAAAGTAAACCTAATTAGTTTAATGGTCTGGAAAATAATTCTTAATCGCTATAGGTGCGGGTATGGCATATCATCGAATTTAGAATGACTCTTAGCCCTGCACAGCTTTCCATTACGGCACTCATCAACCGTCATTATTTTAATTTAAGCGACAACAAAAATAATGATCAAGATAATTGTCGGTAACCATGGTCACATTACAGTACCTGTCGCATGCATCCGGGCATTCAACCAACAAATCGGTGTAGTAATTGTAATTCAGCGGTCTTTCCTCACACTATGTATGACGTTACGTTTACAAGTTGATTATTATTGGTCTCACATATTCGTGTCGACTGGAAAACTAGCTTATATTATTAGTATTACACTCATGGTATACAGTGTATGATATATGTTTAAGCAATGTCTGAAACGGACACGTCTTGGTATTATGTTCTTTAGGGCAAGATACAACTAAATCCCTCAAGAAACCATTTGCGGGTTTCCGGTATGCGTGACATTACCCCCATTACGTCTGAAATAATTTGTCCTCGTTCCATGATGCCCAAGACACGCACGTGCGAATCACTGCACCAAATATACAATTAGTAAATGTGGGGATGCTATATATAGATGTGTAGAGGGCCTGTTTATTCACAACATCTCAATAGAGGATTTCGTGTAGTACGTAGATAAAATTGTCAAGTGACACTGAAATCGATTAGTGGGATGAAGACAGTTATGTAGCAATGTAGAAAACATGTCAAAACAAAATCGAGTTAGGCGATTAGAGAGACAATGTACTCCACGTGGTAGACATCGTAATTGTGTCTTCCCTTAAATGGTTTTGACTTATAAAGCAGCGTGTACATAGGCGACCAACTGCTGATAAGTTCTGCAAGAAATATTGAATTTATCTATCGTTCGAAATTTGATAGAATATGGCAAACGAATTGCCTTATTACACAAGCCAATTATAAAATAAAAATGTACACACACCACAACAAATTAATATTATGTAATCTGTCTTAATGTAGATTATTGAATGATCTGAATAAGGGAGATTCAGACGTTCTCGTCGACGCTCATTTAAATTCACAACCCTTGAGCGAGGAAACTATGGATACACATTTGCACTCAGTTGACATACACATATTCATCGGATAAAACGGTAGAGAAAGTGCTTCACTGTAATATGTAACCGTACATCTAAATACGACTTTGTTACAAATGAGTCAAAGTACATTGGATATTTATTTCAGTGTTCACCGGGGAAAAACACTATTACATTGTACACAATTTATTAGCGGATGAGTGACAAGAAGTAAATTGTCAGAACACAAACACTTAAAATTTAGTTATCCTTACAATTAGTAAAAATATATTTAAATTAAAATAAATAATCACGAGTTGTTACATTGCTTTACTGTGCGCACATTATATTGACAGGTGTTTTTCAATTATTGTAGTCTTGGTTGTCCTTGATATATTCTACTTTTAAGTTTAATAATAGAAGAATTTCTAAATGTGATTTCCCATGTTATATAAAATACTTTACCTGTTCATAATTTCATAATTGAAACTTATATGAGCTCATAATAATATAATTGAATCTCATCACCTTGGAAACATACATTTTCTCTATACTAAAACATTGCTGCCATTTATCGTGGTCATTGATATTCGCAAATAATTTCAAAATGTAATATTCCCTACATGACTACTTTATCCAAGTCTCGGTATTAATATATTATCACCTCCATATTTTTTTGCATATATACAACATTATTTTAAAAGATTGCTGCGACGTTCTGTATCCTCGTTATAATTTAATTAATTATTTGTATACATGACTCGTACCCATATACCAGAAGTCAAAATCATGCAAAATGGTAGAAATTATTGAAGCTTACAAATACGGTGTAACGAACGGCGATGCGGTGACAGATGTTACAATTACGAAGTACAATCAAGCATGTCTTTGCAGTTATTCGTTTCATAGCATGGAACAATCATGACAAGCATTCAGAAGAAAGAATTATGACTCGATTATTTAAAAAACAAAATGAGCTAACATTGAATGAGTAATTGCATACCTAATTAGGTGCATCTCACAGGCGTGGGTCGAAAAGTCCTTTAGTCGGGGATGCCTACAGTCAATTATGTGATAGACATTAGTTTAGTTACCTATATCCCACTTTACTCCACAGTGATCCACTCTTGTGTCAAGGATGTTTCATTGGGCGACAACAAAATGGAGAGTGCAGTTGTTCCGTTTACGTATAGTTTGCTCACTATCAATAAAATATCAAATTCGTATGTGCTTCACGGTTTCGTAACGGAAAATATGTTTGTACTATGAAGATTTTCGTATACATTCAGCTGTTACATTACATGCCAAGCTGGTAACTCGCTCTTCGACGGAGATACGGAAATCTATCATACGGTAGCAGTTGGATAGGAGTTTCAATGAATAAATTAGTTAAAGTAGGCGCCCAAATTGAATGGCAGACCAATTAACAATACTCAGAGCCATGACTTGATAATGCGAAATTTGAGTATACACAAGTGTATTTACATTTTTTCGCATTCGTATTTGGGAGAATGGTGTTCTTTCGGAGGGGGGCGTAAAGCTATCGACCCCAGTCCCGTGCACTCTTCCTATCCTTCATGGACGTAAAAGAGTTCATGTCGCAACTGACGTATTCTTCGGACTACAAGCCTGAGTTGTTCTCTCCTTTGTTTCCGAGTCAGAAAAGTGAAAGTGACTCCGATCTCGTCGACAGAAAATAATGTGCATCTTCAATTCAATGAATACTAACTCAATTAAAAAATGAATTTGGTATTTGTCGCGCATTCCAAATATATCACAAAGAAAACTCACGTTTCTTCGTATGTAAGTTTCACACATGTAGTGAAAGTGCATCTTGATACAACTCAAAATAACCGACAGATTGTGTTACTATATCCATTACACATGTTTACGCGAAATAATCGCGGAATTACAAAAATGCTTTCAAGTGGAGCATATTAATCGCGTGTATGTTCAAGCGATGCACCTGTGTTGCGATGGATGTCACCACAAATTAACCTTGTGTGAATTAATGCATGAAAGCTGTAATCGTAAATGTCACTGAACGTCAAAAAATAGCTCTCGCAGACAAATAGATGAGCTGACAAGTGATCAAAATGTCGTCAAGGCCAATGTGGTCATATTACCTTAGGATATAAAAGTCTCATGTTACAAAGCCATTTGGTATTTCCGTTTTGAATCTTCCACCCGCAATAGGATTGGGGCCCTGTATTTAAGTATTTTTGTTGGTTAATATTATCAGTTATATAATTAACTAGGAGGCACTCCTATAGCGAAAACACACTATATTCCTACCATGGTGGGAAGTGAGTATAATACGCAGGAAGTTGAAGGCTTCAACCTGCGCCAACCTGCTTCATATAGGTGATTTGTCCACGTCTTATACCAAATGCGCAATCTATATTAGGGGCTAGGCAACTGAATATGCATGTATTCAGATATATATGTAAAGTTATGTCAAGTAAATGATATATTCATTTTAACATAGGTGGGTGTTGTGAGCCGAATTGTTCGATTTAACAATACAATTTTGGCATTTTATACATTTTTACTATGGGCTAATCATATCAATTAAATAAGTTTCTAGGAGGCACTTTGGACCCGAGAGCGCGCAGACGTCAGCTATATATGCAAATAACATATCCTAACTAATACTTCTACCCTGTCGTATAGATTTACCGCACTCACATAATTTGCTTCTAATTCCTTTTTGAATACAAAGACATAGACTTGAATGAGATTCAAAAATAATTGTCTCATATTTTTGTAATTGCCTCATAAAATTATAAAGGTAAATTATAAAAAATAATTTACGAAATGTTCGTTTCCATGGCAACCAATTTGAATCTATACCAAAATTTAATTGATTGGTCTGTATCAAGAGCGACCCCCCTCCTGGAAACTTATAACATGAAATTTCGCTCGTAATTCATTGAGAGACACAGAAGAAATCATTTTCGTTATTGACATTGTCATGTATCTACGCCGAAATGTAATTGATTGTTAATTTTGTCAATGGCAATTCATCCTAAAAATATACGAGGTTTGGAACGCCAGTATTTAAATGTTTAATTTCACTGTTCATTTTAAATTTAAATTATATAAATCAGGTTTTTAAAATTTAACTTCTTCTATTGTGTTATTACTGTTATCATATTAGCCTGCAACACATCAAGCAATCAAGTGGAATTTCATATCATAACATACTGTGCATACTATTTGTATTTGAGGTTTGAACTATATAGTTATAAAATCGCGTCAGTCAACATACCTGAGTAAAGTTCACTTCTCTTGCTCAATTGTTGTCTATTTTAGTTAAAATGAAGCGTGTATTGCTTACAACAATAATCGTACGTTTCAAATGAATATTCATTACTAAATCCGACGCACATGGCTTTGTTTGACCATGAGTTTTATGAATGATAAGGCAAAGCGAATATCTCCCATAGAATAATAATCTATTGAGAACAATAGATGTAACATGTGCATTCTACGTTTGCTTTTGATAAACATGTTATGTGTGAGGGCGCCATTTCTGTAGGTGGGTACTAAACAGACTCGAACATGACTGGTTAGAGCGTGCAATAACACTGAGTTCATATCATTGCAGCATTGGATGCTTTAAACAAGTGTCGTTACCGTTCGGAGTTAACTATTACACGCTTCTCCCAGTGACTGGTAATACCTGCTATATCACTGGTCGGATCATTATGGTAAACACAATGAATACCAGTAGCGACTATAATGATCTGATCGACAACAACCAGTGTGTCATTGATGCGCGAAGTGAAAATCTCACGGATTTCTACACGGAACCAGGTACACGAGACCATCTTTACGATTCCCAACATATATTGCTAACTCGTATAATTCCAGCTACGATTACATGTCCGTTTGGTATCATACTCAACTGTCTGTTTCTCTACGTAGTATTCAAAGTGTCAGCCATGCGTACATTGACTAATATGTATCTATCGAACCAAGCCATCGTAGACTGTATGTTCCTTAGCGTATACTATATAGTGCAAGTCGGTGAACCGTTGTCAACTGATGTTGTACACGATAAAAGTTTCCTAGGACCGGTTGGATGTTTTATTGTGAACATAGCTCTAGATATTTGTCTTTTCGTCTCCGAGTTTAACATCGTGTTGGTGACCTTCGAACGAAACATGGCAATTTGTAAACCGTTTAAATCAGATAGAATCAGTTCCAAGTCTCGCACATTCAAACTCATAATTTTTACGTGGATCATGGGTCTTGTTTTCTCCGCTCCGATCTTTAGATTTTATACTAATTGGCATACCACGTGTATTTTGTGGCCGCCGAGTAACGAGACAATTTCACATCAGATGTCATATTCAAATTGTTTTACCGTTGTGTTGACTCCGGTTGATGGAATATTATACAGTCTGACGCCGATAGCTGCATTTTTTTTAGTGATCGTGATTATTGTCGTGCTTAACGTGTTAACGATAAAAGAACTGCAAAGAGGAGTGCGGAAATATTCAGTCAGCGCCCACGATTTGAAACAGAGGCTTCATCAGCAACGGCAGATAGTGGTTATGTTAGCGGTGACGGCGGGTGCCTTATTCGTGTGTCTATTGCCGTATCATTTAGACCTGGTAATCGGCTACTTATACAACATAACACATCCAAACAGTGTGATCGCCATGCCCCAGGCATGGAATGAACTGGTTCGGTGGCTGCCGATGGTGAATTCATCAATCAATCCCATTATTTATGGCATATTGAATAAACAGTACAGAAGTGCGTTCATCGCAACTCTTCGGTGTTGCGACAATCGTCGAGACAAGAACAATCAAAATGATTATATGATGACATCTGTGACCACTTGCTCCACCAGAAAAAGGTCGGAAACAAATGAGGTGACCTACAATTTAAAGTCGAACTCACGGAATCATTCGCTAGAACTAAACACTCGATCTGGTTTATTATATGGGTAATATATGTAAAGTGCTGTCAATCATATATTTTCGAACACCAATATGAATGAATGAATACATGTTGCTACAGTATTAGGTAACACTTATTAATGATAGTTTTTAATAAAAACAGGATATTTATTTATAGTCATGGTTTATATTAAAGCGCGGTGGTCGTCGCGCAGCGCGTGTTCGAATTTCATGTAAATAAACAATGTATTTTGTACGCGTTGTATACGTCGCTATGAGTCCCATATCGAACAGGATGTGGCACGACGACCACTGACCTTTAACTTCTTATTTAATGTGGGCGATGCACATAACAATTGAATAGAATAATTTCTTTGGTTTGAATGGGAAAACAACAAAAAATAAACTTAGTTCAACGTCATTCAAGTATTCCCTTTGAATAAGTCTCACAGAGAGTATTATGAATAACGTATTCTGCAGGTTGGTGTCGAGAATTCATTAATCGGAAACATGCGATCATCTCACATTCAGTCAACGCATTTAATCTAATCTGTACTTCTTTCTAACGTTTGTATTCATGCAGCGCTGTTTTATGCTGTGACGTTTTTGTGGATGGTAATTGTCTTTTTTGGGCCTGCAAGCAATGCTGCAGTCAGGAGCAGGGAAATCTGTGGCACTAATTATGTAGGAACATTTTTCATTGATTTTACATTACGTCCACCAGGTATCGTTTTGCTGAAAATAAGCATTTTAATAGGCAAGAAAGCCGTCTTTATCTGTTATCATTGCTTATTAGCTATATGAGGCATGGCTTTTAAGAAATATCCGTCTTCGAGGTGTGTGTTATTAGCGGCAACGAAAATCAATTACTGATAAATATTTTATTTTAGCTAGAATTTATTTTCGCTGAATAGACTTTTTGGGTGTTTTGTATGGAAGTTATTTTCGCTGATTGGAGAGTGGAATGTAAAATATATAAAAAGATATATATATATCACTTAACACTGAATCATTCCTTCAGCAAAAATAGCGAAAAACTAATTCCAAGCGAAAATAAAGTATTCTACAGTAATTTATTCATTGAAACCTAATGCAATGAATAAACCGATGATTTGTCTCATTGAGTATCATTTGATATATTTTCACATGATTATGGTGTATATCATTCACACTAGTGACGTTTAGTGTTAAATATAACTAATATATATTCACACTAAACATACGTAACATGTGGAAATGCATGCTCGAAGAGTAGTACACAGAGAAATACAAATCGAGTGTCTGTACCGTGTTTATCGTCGCGTTATGAATATTTCTGACTAGACAAAAGCAATTACTCGCATGGGGCAATAGCAATATTAATAACGACAGAAGATTTATCGCCACGAAGAGTAATGTTCCTTCCGGTTGCTAAAGACATCGGCGGTTATATCGGCAAATGTACTGGATTTACGCGCTTAATAGTCACGTCACAAATTGACATAAAAGTCGTAAACAACGTCATTTGAAAACGTCCCAGTGTTATCTAATCGGGCATAAGAAACCTTTCATTTCAGTTTGAATTGTAAAATTTATAAATATTTATAAATATGAAGGAAACGCCGTTCTTACAGAAGTACCGGGCGTGATTTACCTTTTTTAAATCACGCAAATACAAGTGAAAAATAGTGTACGTATACTTCATGATTCTATTTCTACGAGTTTAATTGTATGTTAATTTATCACCCATGCTGCTATCGGCATAACCATATATGGAAAAGATAGTTCATGTCCAATGTCACAAACTCATAGTAATCACAGCGTGTCTCAATTACACAAACAGCTACTAAATTGACCCACAAGATTGCGTTTACTTGTGAAAGTCGAACCTACCGCTATGATGAAATCAACTATGCGGCTAAAGTACTGACTGGCGCTGCCCAATTAGACATGCCTGAAAACACAATTTACATTAATTGTAATGCATATGGGATATCCTTTAAAAGGTCTCGGTATATTTACTACGTAATTAGAAATAGCAAGGAATAACAAGACATTGGAGTTAAAGTAGAGTCAACACCACTTGTACGATTGTTTTGAAACCTTGAAGCGGTTAACAATTTGAAAACTCACTCAATGTTGTCTTTAATTGCCAGACGCAAATTATGAAAGCACACGTGCAGTACAACTTGTCGTTCTAACATGCCAAGTATTTACACAGCAAGACAGACAATTGCAGCAGCAGCTATACATCGGTAGTGACGGACAACGAGTTTTAATTTGGCTTAACTCATTGTGCTTGTACATATCATTCACGCATTTGAATGGAGTCCTATTAATAATTGGAACATGACAGTTCTATTCAATTGACCTAGAAATGTGCATCATTATAAATGAGATGTGGAACAATGCGGTTTCCATGTGCTAATCTACGCAATTAAAAATTTCAATTTAATTACAACGTTCTGTTCTATCACACAGTACTAAAAAGCCAAGATGTATTCATAACCATGTCTATCTTCCTTTGTCCCTACATGACGAGAGAATCGATATAAGTTACTGGACGTCGCATACTATATATATATATATATATATATATATATATATATATATATATATATATATATATATATATATATATATATATATATATATATATATATATATTGATTCATTATTTAATGTATTGAATATTATCTGGTTTCGAAGATATTTGAAACTGCAACAGTAACTAGGTATAATAATATACTGGTACCATATCACACGTTATATTTAGCAAATACGAGCCAACAAATACTCACCTATAATTATTCCCAGATTAATTTGTGTCATCAAATTCTTTGATGGTATATTTAATATTATTAAATGTGTATATGACCGAATACAGTTCTATGTCACGCTACTTTAAGCAATGCTATGACGTGCACAATATGCTAAGTGATGCCCCACGCCCATTGTCACATCATTGTATGATTTGCAGCGTTTTTAAATTCTAAAACATATAATATAATGAGTATATAATCTAGCATTAATCTCAATAACAATAGTGCATTCATATTGACCGTGTCATCAAAACGTTGTAGGTTTAGTCGTTCAGCTGAAAAAAAACAAACAAAGCAGGAAATCAGAATACTTTTATTTGTGAAATATAAAGTGGCTAATGGATTAAAAGCAACTATTTTGTGTTTGCTGAGCAAAAATGTCTATTTTTTGACAAGTTTTATTGAATTTTATATAGATAGTCTTGTCATTACCTATTTTATAGTAAAATATTTTACCACTGTGAGAGTGCTTTTATCATGCAATCTGTCGTTGAACCAACGTTAGGATTTTATTTGCATGAAAATCAATATTATCATTGAATTCCCACCTGACCTCGATTGGTGGTGGCGTTAAATTTTACGATTCATATTTGATATGCAAGCTGTCGCTGTTTTTCAATATCATACTTTTATTTGCTGGTACTCTGTGCTATGTCATATTATGTCATATTAAGTCATATTATATTATTATTATTGACTGTCTTGTATTGACTGTTTTCAGCCAAATTATATATATGAAATATAAAAGTTCTACACCAGTGAAAGTGTCTTAGTCTAATTAAAACTAATTATATTAATTATATAATAATTAATAATAGTTATTTATACATTGGTAATGCTTCTCCAAGTACCAAACGCATGTATTGATAATTGCATTGCTCGAATAATACGAATCCAACGGGTCTTTGAGGCTTACTTTCAATAGATCGTCACTAACCCATATTTCGCAATGAATGTTCTAAGACTAAAAAAATATTTATATCGTCGGCTCAACTATATGGTGTGCAACGTGTCGACGAAAATTAACATACTTATGATAACCGAGTATATACTATAAAATATAACAGCCATAATGAGAATTCTTAGATGAAGAATGAAATGACTCGCGCTATAATGTCTCATATTTTTGCGAACTGGCGGAATTTTATCTTCTCTACTTGCAGAATTGAGTGTCAATGATTAGAAATGAACACACAATTACCGGTAGTCTAATCATATGCAATTTGAAAATAATTACCTTCGTTAATTTAAAACGTCTCCCACGAGTAGCACTGACACGAAGGTCAATATTATTTGATCCCATAACGCATATTATTCATGATATGTATTGATAACGTAGCGACAATAAATTTAGATCAATGTCGCAGCAACATGTAAATGAGGGTGTAACTTTAGTTCAAAGTAGATATATTTTCATAAACTGCTGAGTATTTTAAGTGAAATAAAGATAAGTATAACAACAAACTAGGTGTTATACTCAAATCTTGAATTCGAGCTCGTCAAACTAGTATTATCTTACCATCTAAATTTTATTCGACATTGGTAAAAGTTTGGTAACAGTCATCAAAACATACATATCTGTGGATTTGTTTCATGCCCTCTGAGGACATAAATTTCATTTCATTTCAGAAATGAACAACCTATTTACCCAATTACATGCAATTACATTTTCCAAGAAGGTCTAAGACGAGTGTGATATCCACAACCGTCGGTAATATAAAATATGTCCCACGTGTATCGGTGTTACCGCGGGTCATTATTATTCGATCTGATACCGCAAGCTAGCCATGATTCATATTGATAACGAAGTGACAATCAATTACGATCAATAACGAAGCAATATGCAAATGAAGGCTTGACGTATATTCAGTTTAAAGTAGATATCCTATATATTTCCCGACCACCATCATAACCTTAGTTGTATTTTCAGCTGTATATTTTGAGTGACACGGAAATGTCAGTGTTCTGAACAAAATATAAAAAACAAACTAAGTGGTTTACTTAAATCGTGAACTCATCGGAATTCGTTTTGGCAGTTGGTACAAAGCGGATATACTTCATCATTGCTTCTCGTGAGAGGTGGACGCCAGTTGATATGTAGCTAAGAAAGCCTGCTCTGTGATGATTGCATCCATTTTTTAATAATCCTTTTAGATAAACATGATTTAAAGTGTTACACCAAAATGATAACCAAATAACTCAGCAAATTAACGTATACCCACATGATCTTCTTTCTAGCTCATTTCTAAA